ACGGCTCTCTCCCGTGGCACAGCTGGGTTGGACCGGCGACCTTTGGATTAGCAGCCCTGTGCCAACCTTTGCTGTGCCCAGCCTCTCACAAGCAATCTCGCTGCCACCGAGCAGATTCTGCAGCACAGCGATGCTGGAGGACAGCGTGGGACTGCCCCCAGGGCAGTTCTTTGCCAGAGTAGAAAGCTTCCTTTTCGCCTGTGGAGCAGCTGTTCACTTTGAACTGCTGACCTTGTGGTCGGCAGCCCCAGATGTAACCACGCCACCACCAGGGTTCCTATCTGCGTCGTGGTTCGGTGCCATCGAGTCGGTTCGTACTCACAGCAACCAGACCACCACACTCCCTGGTGCAGGGCCGTCCTCGGTCGGCTTTGGGTTGGCGCTCACTGTTGCTGCCACTGCGTCCATCCATCTTGTCCGGAGTGCGCGTTCTTGGTTTGGGTTTCACTTCCTCTTTTTGGATGCCCTCCACTTTACCAAATCCGATGTCCTTCTCCAGGAAACATTCTCCAGATGGTCTCTCCTGACATGTCCAAAGCACATAAGATAAAGTCTTACCCTTTTTGCCTCTCAGGAGCATTCTAGCTGTATTTCTCCCCAGACAGATCTGATCGTTATTTTGGCAGTCCGTGGGACTTTCCGTGTTCTGCACCAGCACCATAAATCAAACTCATGGATCCTTCTGTGGTTGTCCTTATTCAGTGTCCAACTTTCACATGCATATGAGCCACAGAAAATACCAGTGCTTGGCTCAGGTGCACCTTAATCCTTAAAGTAACCTCCCTGCTTTTCAGCTCTTTAAAGAGCTCTCATGCAGCAGATGTACGTCACGCATGCCACGGCATGGGTGCACCTGCGAACATTGCACTGAGTGAAATGTCAGCCACAGAGTCACATATGAATGTGGCTGCAAACGTTTGTGAGAAAATGGAATTTCTCCATGAATCTTTGAAGCCCCCCCCCCACCCCTATGGTCTCACTTACATGAAGTAAGCAGACGCACAGAAACAAAAAGCTAATGATGGTTGACCAGAGTTGGGAGGTGAGTTAGTTAATTGTGCCAACCCGGCCTATAAGCACATGTGGGGTTAATTTGGGGATAAATGGCTCGGTGAGCCTCGCCTTTCTAGTTCTTAGGTCTCTTGCTTTCTGATGGTCGGACCAGGGTGCAGCTGCCTTAGTCAGTTCCCTGCTTCAGCTGGCAAGGCTCACTTCCTGCAAGACATCCCTGAGAAGCCACATGGACCTACCCCGATGCAGCCTTGGGTGCTGGAGCAGCCACGTGGAGACCCCTGCCAGTGCTGAGATGCTTACACATTCACTGACTCAGCTTTCCTCCTACCGTCGGCATCATTGCGTCTGTTTTGTGAGCTGGAGGAGGACTTTGTGGACTGGTGTTGGACATATGGGATAATGTGTTAATGTTGGTCTTGTGGGCTTGGGCAGCACTGGGTTGGGATGTTTTCTTGATGTGCACTTAACCTTTATATAAAACTCTCTTATGCGTGAGTTTCTGTGGATTTTTCTCTAAAGTACCCAGACTGACACAGGAGGGAAAGGGGAAGGGATGGAAGAGGAGGGAAAGCCCCTTGCACGGACACCACGAAGGCTGTGAGGCTTGGGTACCAGACTCCACTCTGCCGGCTGGTGAAGAACCGGAAGGAGGGACTTGGATCCACTTCCAGGCGTTTGTTCTAGTGTGAACTTCCCCTACTTTATTCCTTCCTTTCTCATCCTGTGGGGGCGGGGAGGGCCCCTCGTGGCTGTTTGGGGGTCACTGTACTCAGCGCACTGCAATCCACTACGCCCATCATTCCTCTCCGTGCTCCAATGAGCCCTTCTTGGCTCCCGGGAGCCCTTGCGAGAAGGCTCCCTAGTCCTCTTGGCACGGCCCTCCGAGGCTGGGCAGAGACGGCACGTTTTCCATCCCAGATCTAGCGCCAGTCACTACTCCAAAAGCCGTTGGGCGTTTTGTTCTTTTTCAAAAATGTTTTCTTCAGTTCTTTGCTTGATGACCCCTTTTTCTGGGTCGGTCGTTCTATTTAATGGTGACAAATATGTATGTAACAAAACATTTGCCATTCTGTACAAGTACTGCTCAGTGATCCACATTAGTATCCATGTTATCATGCTGTCGAACCATGACCTATTTTCAACTTTTCTTGTGTCGCAGATTCCTGTATCGAGCCTCAGGGACACTGTCCTGGAACTGGCCGTGTTTGACCAACACAGGAGACAGTTTGATAACTTCAGTTCACTAATGCTCGAATGGAGATCTTCCAACGAAACATTAGCCCGTTTCCAAGATCACACGTCAATGGACATGGTGGCAAAGGATGACGGCAGTGGGCAGACCCGGCTACACGGTACTGTGACATGTTACAGGTCCTTTCCCTTGCTTGTGAAATCTCCTTTGTACCAAGTATTTTAATTTTATTTTATTACGTACCGCCTTTGATCTTTGTATTTTTCAGAAAAGATATGGTGGAATAAGCCCTGTTCACAAACCTAAGGTCTAGGATCCAACATTTCTCACCAGAACGTAAAATTAAATTCATCTCAGAATATGGATTGATTGCCTCTTATCTGCCTAATATTGTGGCAGAGCCGTTGATTCATTAGAAAATATTTACTGAGTGGCTACTACATGTGAGATCCTCTGCTCGGCACTGGAGATGTCCGGTTAAATGGCACAGACAAGCCCTCTGTCCTTATAGATTTACAACCTAGTCAGAGAAGCCAGACTTTTTGTGTTGTTTTTTGGGGGGGCTTTTTGTTGTTTTGTGTTTTGTCTTGTTTTTAGAGAAGCCAGACTTTTAAGCATTATAGTCGTGTTAGACGCTCTGAATGGGAAATACGAGGTGCTTTGAGGACAGAGGGACAGACCTTGCTGGTCCTGAGACAGTAACCTTTACATTGTGACCTGCCGAGGAGGGTAGAAGAAGAAAATACCCAGCATGCGTGAGCGTGGCTTACAGAGGGACACACGGTGTCCGGTGAGGTGACAAGAGGGTGACGAGCCCTCGTGAGCAAGCGTTTCTCAAGCTGCTTGTATCTCGTTTGCTGATATCTCAGTTACAAAGCCAGTTCCCGGGCCAGACCCAGAGTCCAGGTGGGCGGGGGCTATGCCAAGGGCATGGATACAGCAGGCCATGTACCTCCCACCGGCGGGTTGAGGGAGGTGTGAAAGAAAGTCGTACCAAGGATCACGGTCAGGTCTGGGTGGTGGATCCATTCGACCAGGGACACTAGAGAAGGAGAAATTGAAGAGATTACAACCACAAGTTCCCACACGGAATTTAGAACCAAAGAGCACGTTTAAATGCTTAACTCAAACAAGAAGACAATCTAGTGCAAAGACCAATTGTTTGTCGGTGTGAAAAATAGTAAAGAAGAAAGAAATAGTCCTTAAGACGTCTACCGGTTGTCACCAACTGCATCGTTGTCATCTTCTTAGTGTTCTTCTTTCTTTTTGAATCACTATTGCCCGCCTTCCCTCTGCCTGGATTACCACAGTAGCCGTCTAGCTAATCTCCTTTGTCCAGAGGGACCTTTCAAAAATACAAATCTCCATCTTTCTCTTAAAACCCTTTTGTTGAGACGTCATGTTGACCTCCTGCTAATGACCTTCCTCATCCGGATGATGGGTCTGTGTCTTTGTGTTGTCTTTGCCCCTTTTAAGATTTGGTGAATGTTCTTTAAATTATACTTGAGATGGGGTCTCTTTTGAACCCTAAAACAAGTGGGACCCAAAGTCGTCTTTCCTGGTGGTATCTCTGGAAGGTCTAGGAAACTTGGCGCTTAAAAAAATAGTACTTTCCTTCGCATTTCCATGGACCCTCAGAGACTCCACAGGGAGTTGGAATTACAAGCTCATGTTTGGGGGCTCCTGGGAACTTTATAAAGTCTCCGTAGGTCTCACCGCTGTGAATTGCTGGCTTGTTCTCTCTGTCCTGTTTGCCTTTGCCTTCCCATGCCCTTTTTAAAGCTTTGTCTCACTATCATCCCCATATTGTAAATTTACCCAAACATGTGTGGTGCCCATACTGTGTTCAAAGTGCAGTGGTTGGCTTTGAGATGAAAAGTATACATAGATAAAGCAGCAAGCCTTCTGCTGCAAAGCCTCCTGACTCCACAATCGCTCTGTTGTCTTCAGGATAAAGCTTATACGGCGGAATTCAGCAGGCCAGTCCCTGCCTAATTCTTGGGCTTCACTTGTTCTTCTCCACACACACCCTACTTCTGCCCACACTCAGTAACTTTAGATCTTCACCCGCACCTTAGCGTGTCTCCTTTATTATTTTTCTTTAAATGGTGCTACTGGCACAGCCTATCTCCTTTTGCAGACTCCGTGTGTTCTCTAGCCTGAAAACACCATCTTCCGCGTCTTCGTCGGGCTGGCGTCTTCCTCTGGGAGCCCAGTTGTCTGTTCCGGGGCCCACAGTCAGCAGGTGCTGGTGGCCGGTGGGTTATGCACTGGGTGTCCGGGGCCCACAGTCAGCAGGTGCTGGTGGCCGGTGGGTTATGCACTGGGCCACTAGCCACAAGAGCAGTTGTTCCTGGCTCCAAGGGAGAAAGAGGAGGCTTTCTGCTCCAGAAAGAGTTACATCTCCAGAACCCACAGGGACAGTTCTACTCTGTCCTATGGGGTCGCTGTAAGTCAGGTCTGACTTTTGGGTTTACACTTCCAGTTTTGTGCATTTTTTCTTTCTTTATTCGTTCTTGTGCTTTCATAGTACTCCTTACACACCTCTGTAATAGACTTACCTCTAGTAGACTGCATGGTTGCTTAGCCACCCCTCACTCAACTCTGTGTTTCTTTGAAGGCAAGGGTTGTGTTTTCTTCACATGACATAGTGCCTAACATATCGCAAACCCTAATAAGTAGCTGCTGAAGGAGTAGATGTAGCAGCATAAGAAAATGCATCACAAATTCAGACATGATCATCATGTGTTAAGGATAAAATAAGAATTGACCTTTGTAAAGCAGCATTTTCTTGTTGATTAAATCTAAGAAGAAAAGCAAACAAATGAGAAAAGCAGATCAGATTAAGGTATACTTTCTCTACAACTTTAAGGAGTGTGGACTTGCTCCAATAAGAAATAGTTAAACAACAACAAATCCAGAACCATGGAGTGGATCCTGGCTCGTGATGAGCCTACAGAGCAGAGAGAACCACCCCTTCAGGCTTTCAAGGCTGTAAATCTTTACAGAAGCAGACTGCCGCATCTGTCCCCAGTGGGGTGGCTGTGGGGTTCAAACCCTCTTTTCCATTAGCACCAAGTCCCGCACCCCTGCACGCCCAGGTCTCCTGAAGGAATAATTAGCCATTTTAAATGACCCTCCTGCACCTCCAGGACTCCCTGACAGCCCCTTAAAATTACTGAGTAAGGGAGCAACAGGACATGTGCATACAAAGATCAGAGGAGAAACATGAAAGGTCACAGAGGCCTGTCCTTTCATTTCTCTCTCCTGCGAGAATCCAAACAAAAATCTCCTCGGGCACTAATGGCCTATCTATTTTTGGACTCACAACCCATCAGATCTGTAAAGAGTTTTAGATTTTGTCCGGCACCCCCTTGATAAAGAAACGGAGAGGCGAGGTTGGTTATCCAGGATCACCCCCAGCCTTGTAATACAATACCATTCTGGGAAATTTTAGGGCGGAATTTGGTTTTCTGGAGATACTCTTGTCACCTTTCTCACGGGCTGTTATTCGTCTGTGCTTCCAGGCCATCAGATCCTGAAAGTGCATCAACTACAAGGGACTGTCCTCGTTACGGTCAGTTTTGTGGGCTATTCTGAGAAGAACAGTCCGAAGGTGAGTGATGACTACCATTTAATCAGGATTAAAAGTATAAATTCAATGACTAAAAATTAGGATCATTCTTGTAGAGTTGGCTCACAACCAGTGGCGGTGTGAAAACAATCACCTCGGTGGGTCTGTGATCTTTGGCACTGGAGAGAACATGGGACTGTTCCCTCACTGGGCTGCACGGAATGACAAATGGATACTCACCCCTGGGTTCTTATTCCATTCCTAGGAGCTTTTGAACTTGCCCCCCTCGGCAGCTGTGGAGCTGCTCCTGGTGGATGATGTAACTGTCCTGCCCGAGAATGCCACCATCTACGACCACCCCGATGTCAAGGTAGAAGCGGCGCGTGTTCTGGTTAACTGTAATCATATGAAGGAGAGAGTACTGGACTATTAACCTTCACAGGATCATTTTGAAATGCTTACATATGGACTGAAAAAAAAATCCCAAAAGGGATGCATATATAATATTCAGATGTAATAATCTCAGAAGTTCTAATACTTCAGAAGTCATGTTTTGTCTTTCTTCCACTGACTTTAATCCAGATCTTTGAACCTGTTTGAATTGGGCTCAGTCATAGCCGATTAAGCAAAATTAGAACAGATTTAAATATAAATGTTAATTTTATTTAATTATTTTTAATTTGGGTGATCTAGAACTCTAAAACAGGAAAAATTACAGGTCAAAGACTCAGGAACAAGGTAGTGAGCCTTCTGAAAAGTCTAGTGTGAGGGGTTGGATTATTGCCAGGACGGTGGCATTCAAAGCAGCATGGTCTGCCTATGTCTTTTAGCCAAGAGCCTTTATTTGTCATCAGTCAAAAGATTTGGTTGCTATGTAACTCACCCTGTGCCCTCCCTTTTGCAGAGGGCTTAGCATTCCAGTTCACTCACATTTTAAAGCTGGGGACCGACCATTCGAACGCTGCTTCCTCAGCCACAACATGCTGAACCAGACCGAATTGGGTTGAAATCCTGATCTAATTCTTCTTTCTTAACCAAACACCAAACTTCCTGCCATTGATGTCTGCTCTGAGCGACCCTCTAGGACAGGCAGAAACACCCTGAGTTCCCGAGAGAGCCAGGTCTTTCTGCGGAAGAGCGGCTGAAGGGTACAACCACACCCCCAACAGGGATCCACGGCACCCCGGGGCTCCTCCTCCTTCTTAAGGAGCTGGGAAATACTTCCTCGGAATTGTTCATAGGACAAAGGGGGTTGAATATTATTTGTCTCTTTTCTTTTTCCATAGGAAATATTTAGCCTTGTGGAGGGATCTGGCTATTTTTTAGTCAACAGCAGTGAACAGCACATTGCCACTGTCACTTACCTGGAATCAGAAAGTTTTGTCCAAGTGAGTTTCCTGATAGATGATTTTAAGCCAAAATTCATTCTTAGAGGAATGACTGGAAAATCCCATCGAGGGTCAGAGACTTATTACAACAGTAACCTCTCTTCTCCCAGCATTTTATTTTTAACTTATATAATTGCTTCATCCAAAAGTGAGATGTATTGTTTTTGTTTTGATCAGTACTTGTTTCTGGTTAAAAAGAGACTATGTATGAAACTGATTTTGGTAGCAATTGTACAATACTGCTTGATGTGGTTGAACCATGAAATGGTATGATGTCTGGATTAGCTCCTAATAAAATGGTCTGGGGAGGGGCACAAAGAGACTGTATAAGAGACATTTTATTGGAAGCTCATTTCCAGAAATGCCCCGATGCATAACTCTGTAGACATTTAAATGTGCTATTGACATTACAACTTGAGTATTGGGTGTTTTCAGCCATGATGTGACAACTCAGTATATCAAGCTGACTCTAGAGGTGATAAGCCAAAATATTTGCTTTTAATTGACTTGTAGTAATAAACTACTGATAATGATACTGCCGTCAAGTCAATGCTGCCTCATAGCGACCCCTTGTAGGATTCTGGGACTGTAATTTTGCAGGAGTAGAAAGCCCAGTCTTTCTCCCTTGGATCTGCTGGTGGTTTCAAACTGCTGACCATTTAGATCACAACCCAACACATCACCAAAAGTACTTGGAAATGTTTTATTATCTCTTAATTCTATTTTTTTCCATGAACTTCTTGGCCCCTTCTTGTGTCTTCCCTTCTCTTCTAACAGCTTAAAGGCATTAACTAATTGCTGTCAGAATGTTTCCTTTTAAAAGAAGAAACTAAACCGATCACAAGGATTGACATATAACCCCCTCCCAGGGGAACAGACAACAGAAATGTGGGTGAAGGGAGACAGCGGTCAGTGTAAGACATGGAAAAAAAATTTTCTAAATTATCAAGGGTTCGTGAGGGAGGGAGACTGGGGGAGGAGGGAAAAAATGAGGAGCTGATACCAAGGCCACAAGTAGAAAGCAAATGTTTTGAGAATGATGATGGCAACAAATGTACAAATGTGTTTGACACAATGGATGGATGGATGGATGGATGGATGGATGGATGGATGGATGGATGGATGGATAGATTGTGTTAAGAGCTGTACGAGCCTCCAATAAAATGATTTTAAAAAGAAAAAGCAAATGTTTTAAGAACGTGGATGGCAACATATATACAAATGTGCTTGACACATGGATGTATGTATGGATTGTGTTAAGAGCTGTACGAGCCCCCAATAAAATGATTTCAATTAAAAAAAATTAAGCGGAAGCTAAAAAAATTAATTAGTTACCGTATATACTTGAGTATAAGCTGACCCGAATATCAGCCAAGGCACCTAATTTTACCACAAAAGCTGCATTAAAAATGTACTGAAAAACTTGGCGTATACATGAGTATATTGGATAATTAGTTCATAGCGGAAACGGAGGCCCATGTGCAGATGAAGGATGTAGAAACACATGCTGTTGTATGGGACCTAGAGTTGTTGTTGTTGTTGTTGTTGCTAGGTGCTATCGAATTGGTTCCAACTCATAGTGAGCCTGTGCACAAGAAGTCAAATTAAACTATCTCAACACTCAATCCTTCTCATGCCCCACTGGTGATGACTACATAAACAGACTTGATTTTCTTCATGAAATCCACTTCCCGCTCCTCATTGAAAGCCAGCATATATGTTGAATTGTACTTGAATTCAACCAACTTGAATACTGTTCTTTGTCAGTTAATATTTGTTAGTTACCTAGTTTGCCCTGAACGGAAACACCCCGTATTAAGGGTGCATCCTGTGCTGTGCCTGCAATATGTTCCCGCGACAAAGGAAGGCAGACGGTGCACTTTCCTCTTTGCGTGGAAACGGTTGCGATGATTGTGCTTGAGCATATTTGCTTCTGAACCCAGCGATCATCTTCCTTCCAGGTGGTTCCAACACACCCTGGATTCCTCACCTTGGAAGTCTATGACCTGTGCTTGGCTTTCTTGGGTCCAGCAGTGGCCCACCTCAGGGTGTCGGACATACAAGAGCTGGAGCTTGATCTGATCGATAAGGTGAGAGTTGTTTTGCTTTTTAATGAAGCAGGCTTACTGCTCACATCCCTAGTATCATTTATTATACTATGTTGTTGTTGTCTTCTCACTCATAATTACGGGCTGGGGCGGTTATTAGAGTGACTAATCAAGTCAGAATCAAGAAACAGTAAGAATGAAGTCATTGGTCCACAGTGACACATCTTCTCAGTCAGCAGCCAAGTCTCCCTCAGCTACCTGGGTCCTTTGGCGTCTGCCTCACAGCCCCTAGTCTCTGAGAGGCTCTGCCTGCTCAGCCCGGCTCCTTGCCACAGCCTGAGCCTCCCCACTTCAGCCGGGATCTGGAGTGTGCTCGCCCAGTGACCCTTGGTGTTCTCTCTTCTGCTGCTTCAAAGATGGCTCGTCCTGTCCTTATAGCCAGGGGTGGTGACAGTGATGAAATCTGGCCAACCGCCTCCATAGAGTTACACACATCCTATTGTAGTATTAAATAAAAATATTGGCACGGGGTGGGGTGCCAGCCCCACCCACTACTAGAACTCACTGGTTCAGTAATGCTATTTCTGGGTTCAGTAATGCACAATTGTACGGTTGAGATATATAAGTATTATATTAGAGTCATCAAGAGCCTGAGAGATATTACAATAATGCAGTCAGACATATTACATGGTAGCATTGCTCACCTCAGCCCAGCTTGGTGGTCCACGTGGAGAGAGGGGGAAGGGAAGGAGGGCAAGGGAACAAGGGAGAGGGGAGTGACCAGGGAATGAGCAACAAGGAGGTCAGAGTCCAAGAAGTCCGAGAGCCCTATATTGATGACTCACGCCTATATACCTTTTGGGGGCATACCAGCCCACTAATTACAGGTAGAGTCATAAGTCACAGGGAGGGGCTGCACTATAGGTTACACAGTGGTGAGAGGTTGGTCTAGGGGCATACATGCAATAGGAAGAGGGACAGCCGGTTTGGCCTGGCCCAGGCCCAACTGATAGAGACCATTCTCAGTAGGATGCAAACTCCGCCCCCAGGAGCCTGTCCATTGTCCCCAGCAGCAGGGAGCAGGCCCACCCCTGTGGTGGGATGAGACAGCGGTCTGGCAGCAAGGATCTGACTTTCCCCCACATCCTATGTGCACAATCCCATGCAGTCGTTTGATGGAAGCTGCAGAGACTTGGATAGAAAAGCCACAGTCAGATTTTCACTCCACCACAGAAATTCACTTGTAAGTCTAAGTCATAAATATATATATATTTCTCCACAAAATTGCGACATCGTCTGAATTCACTGGTTATCACTTGCATCAGTCGATTCAGGAATTGTTGAATCCTTGGCATGGATTCCATCTGCACTGACCGCAGACTATGTCTCTCCCATATAACAGCATAGCACCCAGAGTAAACAAAGGTGCAAGGGAGGTGCGCAGCTCGTTTTAAAAACCGGACAATGGAGCCCCCATACCTGGACAGCCTAGTGGGCTTGGTGATGCCCCAGGGGCTCCAGGTGGTATATGACTGACCAGAGGGTGAAATAAATCATACCTCAAGGAAAAAAAACAAAAACCGGACGATGTATGGGATTTGTGTAAAAGTATGATAGCCTCACTCAGCTACTGTGTGTACGTACCAAGACTCTCTTCTTGGTGTTAATCAAAATGCCTTCTCTGAGAAACCAATATTCCAACATTAAATATAATCCATATAAGCAGAGTCTTAAAGAACAATTTAAATTAGTACACATTAATGAGGCTTATTTGAGCAAAGGCTGGCCAGACCCCTCTAGCAGGAAGCATAACATTCGACCCCCTAGAGTTAGACTGCCCTTGGGGAAGGAGGTACCCATACTAAAATCCACTTTTATTTTTAATTACTAGGTCGAGATAGGTAAAACAGTGTCAGTGACAGTGAGGGTTCTAGGCCCTTCCAAACACCCGTTCCAGAACAAGTACTTTAGGAACATGGAGCTCAAGCTGCAGTTGGCCTCGGCCATCGTCACCCTGACGTGAGTACCGTTTCCATCCTTCCGCCTTGCGCTGACCGCCCGAGAATCACCCTCCAAGTAGCCCGGACCCTTCTCTCCAGAGATATTTCAGCTTGTCTCCTTTTTGATCCTGGTATTTCTCAGCGCACACATCTTTCCCACATCCCGCTCTCGACAAAATATCCCGTCCAGATCTTCAGACATCTTGTTTTAGGACTGCAACCATATAGCCCACGAAGACTTCCCTTTCAAAACTCCCTCTTCCGCGAGCCGAGTCTTCTCTCAAAGTTAAGCCCAAGTCTTTTTCTATTAAAACTGAAAGTGCATTGTCCTCTCTAGAAAGTGCAGCGGCGCATTGAACTCCATTTCCTTTTGAGGCTGGGGGCCTTCACAATGTGTTTATGAGCGGAGGTGCTGGTATTCCCCGCCGCCAAGAAAGGGAAATGAAGGAACTCCACAGTGATTTAGTATTCGTCACGCTGCCAATCTTTGTTTTTCATTGCTCTCTGTCCTCTGGAATCATGGAACACAGAGCGTTTTAAAGAGAGCAGAATCGTTTCCTTGTGAGCAGACAGTCGGAAGCATCAACCCAAAGGTCTCAGGAAGATGCCCGTGGGAGAAACCCTGGACTCCCAGGGGTTCTCTGCCATTGCCAGGGACTCTGTCTGCACTCTGGGAATGTCGTTTCTGGCAGCTCTCTGTAGACAGCGTGAACGTGGGCGGGCAATGGTAAGCATGCTGGAACGATGCATGAATCGTCCACTCTCAAAGCCTGAGCGTTCTCACCTGTCAACAAATGGGTCTTTGCAGGCTAATGGAGGAGCAGGACAAGTATTCTGAACATTACGTCCTTCGAGCCCTCACCATCGGACAGACCACGCTTGTGGCCACTGCCAGGGACAAGATGGGGAGAAAGTTCACTTCAGCTCCTCGGCAAATTGAAGTAAGGAAATGATCTCATCCAAACGCCTTACTTTGTCTTAATTAGCATCTTAAAGTCTTCTTCTGCTTACTTTGCTCATGTTGAAAATCATTTGACTGGAAAAGAAATGATTGTCTAAGTCTCACTACAAGATGTAGTCTATTTTTGGTGCCTGTTGCTTGTATAAAAGTTAAACGTGTTTCTTGTGGAATTTTTGAACGCTATGAGGTGTAGGACAGACATCACCCGTAACTCCGCGACCTAGAGACAAACTATTGTTGAGCTTTAGGGCTCTTGCCTTCACGTTTTTTATCTGCTTAGCTTATTATGGATGAATCATCCTGCCTTTTTAAAAGAAGTTTTATTAGCTCTTTATCCACATGTCCTGCTCTTTTCACCCTAATCTTCTACCAAAAATCTTTTCTTAAGTCTTTAAAAACTAACTTGATATCAAAGCCTCAATAGAAAGCAAATGTCTAGAAAATAATGATGGCAACACAGGTACAAAGATGCTTGATACAGTGGACATATGGATTGTTATAAGAGTTGTAAAAGCCCCCAATAAAATGATCTTTAAATTAAAAAAAATTTTTTTTGAACTGTTGACCATGTGTTGTTGGTAACTGTTGAACTGAGGAATAGGTAGATACCTGAGAGACCAGATATCTACTTTTTTATGCTCGAAACAAGGAAACTTCATTTTAAGGGCCACTTCTATCCCAGGGACTGGATAGATAGTCACTTATTTAAGCAGTCTCACATAAGCCACAGTAAATGTTTTGCTATTCACAATAAAAACCTCACCTCTAGATCAAATAAAACAGGTATCTTCATGTATAACTTTTGGGTACACACAGTGTTTTCCCTTAGGATAAACTCAGTGCTCGTTTGGGTATAAAATTGTTCGTCTCTGTTGTCCTTTTGTGTCCCTCCTTCAAGGTGTTTCCTCCGTTCAGACTTGTTCCCGAGAAGATGACACTGATCCCACTGAACATGCTACAGGTGATCTTAAGGCAGAGCATGTGTCCTCCTTCCTAACCCACGCCCCAGGAGCCCTGCTGGCACGCGGCTACGTGCTGGCTGTGATGCGGGAGGTCAGCAGTTGGAAACCAGCAGCCACTCCACAGGAGAAAGATGAGGTTTTCTCTTCCCATAAAAAGTTACAATCGCAGAACCTCTCACGGGAGCAGTTCTACCCTGTCCCATGGGGTCACTGTGATTGGCACCAACTTGATGGCATGAGTTTGGCTTTTGGAACACACACCCCCACCCCCACCCCCACCCCCACCCCCACTCCGCTCACAGCACCTACAACATCTGCTTAGGGGGGAAACAAGAGGGACGTCTTCTCTGTGATTCCTCTGTACACGGTAACCCGTCTGTCTTGGAAACCCGTGGCCTCCTTCTTGGGCATTTGATTGGCTAGGGGAAGTAGGGGAAGATGGCAAGCCGTTGGGGAAAAGAGGTGTGCACTCACCGGGACCTTCACCTTTCAGGTCATGTCTGAAGGGGGTCCCCAGCCCCAATCGATCATTCACTTCTCCATCAGCAATCGGACCGTGGCCGTAGTTAACCGGAGAGGACAAGTGACAGGGAAGGTGGTTGGCACAGCCGTGGTCCGTGGCACCATCCAGACAGTAAATGAAGACACCGGCAAAGTCATTGTGTTTTCCCAGGTAGGAGTTCTTTGCTCTGCTGTGTTTCTGCTCATCCTTCTGGAAGCCGTCTTGGGAGGTGGGGGTTGATTAACGGTGTGTTTGCGGCCCACGACAACCCTGCTAGTCCCCCTCCTCCAGTATTCTAACCAGGCCTGGAAATGATGCAGCCTTTCGTAGAAAACCCACAGAGTACTTGGCATTTGTTGTAGGACCTAATTCCTGTCGTTAAGGATGTCTGTAAAGAGCACATACAAGAACAACATATGTATGGTATAAGGCATATGTTGTTGTTGTTGAATGCAAAAACAACCCCAAACTGGTTATTATAAGCAGCTTTGTCCACCCCAGAGACACTCCCTCTTCGGCTCAGCTTGCTCTCCACCCTGTAAACAGGATGAAGTACAGGTTGAAGTCGTTCAGCTAAGGGCCATCAGGATCCTTGCAGCTGCAACCCGACTCATCACAGCCACCACGGTCAGTGTGTGGTGGGCTGTCTTCTGGGCTCATTGTTCTGTGAGGACGAGCTGGGTGGGGTCTGCAGCCGCTTCCTCTTTTTCTTTTTAGATGCCAGTTTATGTCATGGGAGTGACCAGTACTCAGACCCCGTTCTCCTTTGGCAACGCCCAGCCTGGGCTCAGGTTCCACTGGTCCATGAGCAAACGAGATGTACTGGATCTAGTGCCCAGGCACTCAGAGGTTTGAATTGATCTTTTTTATTGCATTACCTTAGGGATCTTGCTATTAGATTTAGTTTAGTTCGTCATGTAAGTGTTAGACTGACAAACTTTCTAAACTACACCTAACTGTGTATCTCATTTCCCTGTTGTTTTGTGAATTGTGGAAACCTACAAAGCATGTGAAGAACCCGAATTCGAGTACGTGGGTAATGCCACAGGATGGTGAATATGCTTAGCTGGAAAGAACTCTCTCAAGGAAACAATGCTTCCTTTAATATGCTTGCTTTTGTCAGTCCTTGAGCAGCACGTTTTAAAGATAAAGTCAGCCTGGTGCTTACCTATGGAAGATCATCTTTGAACATGTTCAGACTCACTTAATTATAGTAACAAGCATGTGTGTGCTGCATGATGGGTGGGTGACATGAGCAATAAAGACTGGGTGCTGCTGACACACCTCCCCTCGTTCTCAGTGTTGTTACCAAATTATCAGCTTGACGGACATCAAGGTCATCTGGGGAGAGTGGCAACCTTAGGTTTGGACTTGACAGTGAAAAAAAGGTAACTCTTGAGCCAGGGACCCAGTAAGTCACAGTTCAGTGCCCAGAGCAGGGGAGTTCCAGGAGCGAGGAGCTTTCTGGGCTCCGTTACAAAGATCTGTTTGAAAGCCTTCTAAAAAAAGCCGTTGGTCTTGAGAAATGAGCGGTTGGATCTTCCTGAGCCTGGTTATGTTTGGACTCGAGCAGAGATAGGAATGTGCTTAATTTGGGACCGTTCTGCTGAGGGGTTGTTTGGTTTTCGGTGGAATAGCATAGCAAACAAGGGATGGCCTAGGTCCTAGCTTCTGTCCTCCTCCCTTCCCCCTCCTTAACTGCAGCGTAACGCTCTCCTCTAGCAGAATAAATCGTTGAGAGCCATCCAAAGATTTTCTTTTTTTGCCTACGCCGCAGCCTTGATGAATTGGGTGACAAAACGGGCAAAAGAAGGGCTGTGAGGCCTCACCAAGCGGATTACCTGCCCGGTGGAAAGGCCACCACCCACACGTGCACTAAGGAGCCCTGGTTGCCCAGTTGTTAAGCTGTGGATCAAATAGTTGTTCGACCCCACCAGGGGCCCTGTGGCACACTGCTTCCATTAGGCACCCACCGTGGAGCCCCTGTGGGACAGTTGTCCTGTGTCCCTGTGAGTCAGAATTAACTTGATGACAGCAGGTTTGCACTAGAGGCTCACGATTTATAAACGACTCCTTCTTTATCCAGCACAAGCACTTTGCCTTATAAGTGATTGGTGTCTGCACAGAGTGGGAGTTTTATATAAGGGAGGAAGAAAATATATTTGGGAACTTGGCAATCTAAGTGACTGAAGAGAACTAGGAGGTCCTTGGAGCTCTGGAGAACAAAAAATACAGTGGGGAGGACACATGACGTGAGAGTCAAAGAGGTCAATATTTTGCTCGACTGTTGACCCTACCGTCCATATTACCAGAAGCCTGTCCATTCCTAACCTTATCTCGCCCGCACAGGATGGTGAGGAAGGCAAGTGGGGAGATGGTCAATCCGCTTTATCGGGATCCTAAAACATGAGCCTCCCTTTCCTGTTCTCCTTCTCACTGCCCCCCAAATCTAAGAGTCTGTTACCTCACTTCTTTCACATTTTAAATCCCACTGTCTGGACCCACTATACAAATCCCTTCCTTCGCCGTCATTCTTCCCCTATTGATTGATGGCATCCAATAAGAATCCCAAAGAAGCGTGCCAGAATTAATAGAGCCCTACAGAGGGTCAGACTTTGGAGGCACCGATGATGTTAGGTTAGCATTGACTGCCCGAAGAACAAGCAAGTCTGTCTGGGAAGAAGTATGGCCAAAATGCTCCTTTTTTTAAAAGTGAGGATAACAAGCCTTCATCTCGCGTACTTTGAACCTGTTATCAGGAGAGACCAGTCCCTGGAAAAGGACATCGTGCTTGGGAAAAGAGAAAGACCTTCAATGAGATGTATTGACATCAACCTCCTCGTATGGCTACTCTCAATATTGGTCTTGAGGGGTCTATCTGTCCTGGATTCCCTGCGTTTCCAGCTCTTATCTGTACCTGTGTACATTCTCTGGTCTAGCCAGATTTCTAAGGTAGAATTGGGGTCATGATGGGGATGGGTGGAGGAGCATTCAATAACTAGAGGAAAGTTGTATGTTTCATTGGTGCTATACTGCACCCTGACTGGCTCAACTCTTCCTTGTGACCCTTCTGTAAGGAGATGTCCAATTGCCTACAGATGGGCTTTGGGGCTCCACTCCCCCTCATTCACAGTGACAAGATGTTTTGTTCTGGGTCTTTGATGCCGGATACCTGATCCTGTCGACACCTCATGATCACACAGGCTGATGTGCTTCTTCCATGTGGACTTTGTTGCTTCTCAGCTAGATGGCTGCTTGGTTTATCTTCAAGCCTTTAAGACCCCAGATGCTATATCTTTTGATAGCCAAGTACCATCAGCTTTCTTTACCACTTTTGCTATGCACCCATTTTGTCTTCAGCGATCGCGTCTGGAAGGTGAGCATCATGGAATGCCAGGTGATTAGAACAAAGTGTTCTTGTGTTGAGGGAGTACTTGAATAGAGGCCCAATGACAGTCTGCTATCTTGATACTTAACATATAAATATATATACATAGATCTATTTCCATATAATTATTTATAAACATATTTACATGCCTACATGCCTGTATTTAGACCTCTATAGATGCCATTTGCCTCCTAGCTCTTTCCTCTGTTTCCTTTTACTTTCCTCTGGTCCCACTATCATGCTCAGCCTTCATTTGGGTTTCAGTAATTCCTCTCAATTACATTGGTCTTGATCAAGCCCTACCAGGCCTCCTATGCCCTCCTCACCATTGATTTTGGATCACTTGTTATTCCCTTGTCCCTGGGTTTGTTAACACCACTTCCTTTCCCCCCTCTCCCATGTCCCCCTGGAACAGTTTTCTCCTCCAGATTGTTTATCTAGACAGACATGCAGAGAAAATAATAAGCATAAAAACAAGACAACAAAAGAAAAAAACAACAGCAACAAAAAGCCTAACAACAACAAAAAAGAAAAGCCTTTAAATAGTCCCAGGTCTGTTTGTTGACCTGTAGGAGTGTTTTCAGGTTGAGTCTGATGGGGTGCCACACCTTGGCCCCAAAGTCTATTTTTGGTATTCCCCAAGGACTTCATTGCTTTGCTCCCCTTGCTACTCTGTTGCGTGCCCTTAGTGTTTCTCCCTGGGGTCAGATCGGGCACAATCCCCACACTGTGCCTCCAGTGTTGTCCCTCTTAGCGATATGAGTCAGTGAAGGACATCTTGTCTCGTGGTGGGGCTGGCCCCATGGTCCTCTCTGCATTGGCTGCTCTGAGCAGGGATATCATCCTTGGGGCTTGGTGGGCCAGGATGTGTTCCACTCTCTCTCCTTCCCTCTTCATTGGCTCCCGTGTGCCCTGATCAGATGCACCCCACTCCCTGAGCTGTAGCTTCAGTGCTGTCCTCTGTAATGCATTCTTCTGAGGGGAGGGGGGCGGTGCCCACGTAGTTGGGATTGGGGGCTTACCCCGCAGACCTCTCTAGAGTTCCCTGCTTCATGCCGGTATGTTGCATTGTGTCTTGGAGCACCGGGTTGAAGTCTGGTCCCTCGCTCCCTCTCCTGTGGAGATATAAACAACACCCTCCATTTGGGTGGGTTGGTGCTCTGTTCCCCCGCTACCCGTCTTTTTCTTTCTTTCTTTCCCCCTCCTTTTTATTTGGCTACCATATGTATCCCTGGATTGGGACTGGACCCTGCCATGGTATCTGGACCTCACCCCATGAAAGTATGTATATAGTAGCTTTTCCCCTATACCTTACCTTTTGCATTTTTAAGCTTACCTCAGCAGACTCATGT